CATTAGTGTAGGTCAAGATATGACTATTCTTTGTCAGGGCTGAGAATGAGATCGGTTACTAAGGACTACATTTAAAAAACCAAAAGGAAATAAAGGCAAACCACAAGACCACTATAAATGTTAAAAGCAAGTGAGATGAAGCCCTTGCCAAAGATCGTACCAAAAGTAATGAAGCTGTTCTCAGCATCGTTCTTAGAAAGCAGAGTGAAAGGGTCTTGAATTCCTGAGGATGGTTGAGATGTTCAAGGCAGGACATAGGGTTGGTGGAATTTGCAGTAAATATCTGGTGCTTCCCATTACAAATATATAAAATCAGCTTTTGGGATCAACTTCTTACATTGTTCAGGATGCAATTTAGATTTAGATAAGATATGGCTGTACTTACCTTAGACTGCCTATGAAGTCAAGAGAGGGAGAGGTGGGGGCGTTTCCAGAAGGCAATTGAGCTCTCAGGTAAGAGAGCAATTTTCATTAACTACACGGAAAGATTACAGTGCCTCAAGTCCTAATTTATACATACTTTTTTTGAGGTAGATGGGATGAACCAGAGCTTACCCACCCAGTCCTCCTTGATCTCTTCACTCGTGTCAATGAGAGACCTCATTGGACTGGATCCTCTGGAGGATCAGTAGTAAAATAATTTTCTTTCCAGCAAGGAGGATATTTTAAAAACAGGCCTTCAGAGAAAGCAAGCTCCAGTGAAAAAGGGTGATCTATAAACAGAGACATCAACCTACAGGTACAGGAAGCAACTAGACATATTCCCTTTGAATTAAAAATTCATTAAATTAAAGCTAGTGTGTATCAGTTAAACTGCCTTAGAGACTACTGATGAAAACTGGGTCTTCACATCTAGAGAAAAGTAAAGTGCATAAGAAATTACAACCTCTCTGTATCTTCATGATCAAACCCTGGCCGACTTCTGACATAAAGCCAATTGCCTGGGCATGCTGCCGATGGGGTTGCTTTCCTGAGAGAGGGATTGCGGCTGTCAAAGAATTAAATGGATGTGAGAATGGCCTTGTACAAGGTAAACTGAGACTCCATTGTCGCCCTAAAGATACTGCATAATCAGATCCTTTGAAGTGTAAAAACCAGAAAGATTTTCACAACTGATTATCTTTGTTTTGGTGTCTTTGGAAAGTTGTCACAGTTCTTTCTCCTAAAGGATGTTTGGGATGCCTGACAAAAGCCAGTGTAGACACTTCAGGTTTGCAAATACCATGTTACATAGAACTGCAAAAAGGCTTTATGAACTTAAATGTTACAATCACATAAAAGAAACAAAGGCCTACCTTTATCCTTATCTTTAGATCAGAAAGGAAATAGAAACAAGGCCAAGAACATGTATTTGAACACACCAATCTGTAGACGAGTCAGGCACAGCTCTCAGACCACCCAGTGCTTGGTCTACCCCTTACCTGAAAGATGATCTGTCGAATTTGCCAGATTATTTTATTTTCTGGTTCATTACTAATCAGATTACTTTCCTGAGTGATATTTAGACAAATTTTTTCATGTTTACTTGCAACTTTCTAATTGTTAAGCCTGTATGCTGAAAGAAAATAGGTGCCGCATTCTTTTAAACAATCCCTTCTGTATTAGAGGGCATTTACAGTTCACAGTCTTTGTTTTCAGCTGAGATTCTAGATACCAGAATAGATTGGTATCGATACAGCACACCATAGGTAACACTGGAGGTTCAATTCCACAGCCAGGGGATCCACTCAGTGGAAAAGTTTGTAAAAGAACAGTGCCTCTTTCCAAATAAAAACCCAGAACGCGCCTTTAATTTTCTTTTCTTCCTTACAATCACCAATAATTGGTAACAAAAGCCAAACAAAATTTAGCTAAACTACGTCAAAGTAGTGTTGGGAACTGACCTTTCCAAGCCACTAATCAATAGGCAAGTCAGCGTCTGTCTCATAATGGCAACCCAGACTCAGAGCACACTAGTGAGATGATAAAGTGTCTTAAGACATATTCACCTGACACAAGGCAGTATCTCCAGCAAATATTTATTTTAGCAATATGGGACAGGACTTCCTGGTGTGTTGCCTCAGAACTGCTCAGTGAGTGGGAGTACCTTCCTCGCATGATAAGAAAAGAATGGCTACAGGCTGAAACCAGCTGAGCCCTGGCCCAACTGGCTCAGCTGAATGCTGTTTCTCCTGGGGTTGCCCTATTGAAGTGGATGCTGGTGTAAAGAATTCACGCAAAAGGAAGAAACAGTACTTGGAGCAATGCCACTGATTTTTCTTGAGTTACGCCAGGGAAATGTTTGACTTGCAGAGACTAGTCACTAACTGGAAGGGATGGCCTGGGGCTACAGACGAGGGCTCGACCGTGCACACGTGAGAAGCGGCCACACAGCAGCAGCAGCGTGATCATGGTCAAGTCAAGCCTTTACAGGGAAGCTTTTCCTGGAAGGGACGCCTGTGTTTAACTTTCCCAGTTCTGGTGGGGGCCTTGTGACGACAGCCTAAAGAAGGACACACAGACTTCAGCTGCAGTCCAGCTTGCTCTTTGCAAGCAGCAATGCCACTACACGCAGAGGCAGAGCCACCCGGCCAGAAAGGCCAG